AACGGATGTCAACCATCAGATAACCGACCTGGAACTGACGGCTGATGGATGGCAGACGCTGGCATACGGAGGGAAATTTATGCTAACCATTTCTTGAGGTATTCGCCGTATGTTGACGTGTTTCTGCGTCCTTCAGCGCGCTCATGACTTATACAAAACGCACCCATAACTTATCCAAGGTATGCCAGCGTTTGTACGTCAGGCATTCGCTGGTCTAAATCTTCAAGGTGTGACAGGCGCTTTAGCTTCCCAAAATGCTTTGCTGTCTGTCGACCATCTTGGATTTGAGAAATTGTTGTTGCATTTGCATTGGATGGCCAGCAGATGGCAGCGTACAGCAAGGAGTGTCCTATGCATGAAAAGGGTTAATCACTCTAGTCCTTTATGATCATGTGATCAATCAGCTCCAATCACACACGTTCTACCGCTGAGCTGCGTACCTGTGCAGGTGTGACAGGGTCGGGGGGGAGGGGCTTATTGGGCGGAGCTGGTCGACTCACCGGCAGCTAAAGTGTTAGCAAGGAGAAAGAGAAGAAGATGTAAACGGGACAGACAGGCTGCATGCAAACAGAAGTGATGAGCGTCATCTGGAAAAATCTGACTGAAGCTAGAAGGAACGGATCTACATGATCTAGATCTTCCACTAAAACCATTTACTGGTATTCAGGTTCTGATGTGAGAAAGAAACCAGTTCAATAATTAATCCTATAATCATTAGTTTTGTATTTTTTCTTTTCTTAGTCTTATTTTTCATGACTTTTTCTTGTCATAAAAAAACAAAAACATAAATGTTCTAAAAAAAAAATAAGAACGTAAACAAATAGCTATAAAAACTGGGAAATCTATTTAAGATGGAAAATGTATTAATAAATAGAAATAGATTTTATTTGAGAGCTAAATCTTAATGTCAGGATGATTATAAAACTTATAACTTATAATAAAAATCATCAAAAGGGAGAAAAACATGCGAACATCACAGGCAGCAGGACTGATTACAGGAGGGGCGGCGGCCAGCGCTCAGCCTACCTGGTTGCTGGGGGCGGGGGGGTCAGGGGGCAGAGGCTTGGTGGGGGCCGCTGGTCGCGGTTTAACCAACTGAAGCAGCAGAAATAAAAGCAGGAAAAGGAGAAGGTCAGAGTTCAGAGGGAGGCCGCTGATCCCGCTCTGTTAACGGATCATTAGCAGATCACTTTCAATCTACTTTACATTTCTAGATTCTGGAAATCAATCTACAACCGAGCATCGTCCTCCACCTCCTCTGGGAAAATGGCGGCGAATAGCGTTAATATAAAAAGCAGCTGGACTTCTGCTTCAAACACAAGAAGGAGCTGGTCACTGGTTTGATTTCAGAACCAGGCCAGACTGGGAGGCGTCTATGGAAGTAAATCTGTGTCGCTGGGATTTGAATTAAAAATGCAGCTGAAATTTTTATGTTTTTTGTAATTACTGTTTCGTATTGTCATTATTTCTACACAGTTGAAATTTCATGTTATTTTCTCTTCAAGCTAAAAATTCACATTATTATTTCAAAGTGATTACATTTTAAAAACTTATTTTTCAGTGTTTAAAAAATCTGCATATAAAAAAATTCAACCTTTTAAAATTCAAACTCAATATCTTAGAGTTAAGTATAAGTACAGTACGTCTCCAAAATATGACTTTGGTAAAAGTCCGAGTCACAGAATGAAATGTTACTTGAGTAAAAAAAAAAAATTTATACTCTTGGAAAGTATAAAGTACTTCAAAATATACTTAAGTACATGCAAGCTAACGCTAACTCAACGGTGAGTTTATTACTTTCATTTTTCTGTAGTTAGCTAACGCTAACTCAACGGTGAGTTTATTACTTTCATTTTTCTGTAGTTGAGTTAGCGTTAGCTAGCATTACCGGGTCCATGATGCTGGTTTTCCTCCCGTATGAGCGCCACAAGCGTCGCGTCACGTGACCAAGAAACCGTAACGGGATTGGCTGGGTGTTGGACGCCACGATCCATCGCTAATGTCTGTGACCTGAAGTAACCCTTCCCTTCTTACACTGAATTTAGACGCCGAGTTTAAGACGGTGAAATAGAGCCAGTTAAATCTCAGGAGGCTGAAAATATTGAGTTTGAATTTTAAAAGGTTGAATTTTTTTATATGCAGATTTTTTAAACACTGAAAAATAAATTTTGAAAATGTAATCACTTTGAAATAGTAATGTGAATTTTTAGCTTTTAGAGAAAATAACAAATTAAATTTCAGCTGTGCAGAAATAATGACAATGAATTTTTTTTAGGTCAAAAATGTGTTCTGAATATATTTTAACACTGAAACAGTGAGAACAAACACACAACATTTATATTTCAGTGGCATTTTTAATTCAAATCCCAGCGACACAGATTTACTTCCATAGACGTGGACTAGAGAGGCTCCGACCTGAAACTGGGGTCGGATATCGGCTTCGTGTTTAACATTAACAGACTCCTTAATGGCCGTTAGTCATCTTAGCATTCTGTCTAGTGACCTTAACTGCGTGTTAGCCCCTTTAATTCTTTTTAAATCCCCGTTAATCAGCTGTTAGCATCATTCTGAATAAAGCTAATATGGACGTTACTTTCATCCATATTCAAAACAGAAGCGTCTTAAAAACCAACAGAGGAAGCAGAGCTGAACTGATTCATAAACAAATGTAGAAAACCTTCAAGCTTTGGTAAAACTGAACATTTTTAGTTTCAGATCATGAAATAAAAGTTCAGATCAAACAAATAAAATCTAATGGAGAAAAGCTCAGACTCTGATCTATAGTTACAGGAATAATAGATTTTTTTCTCAATAGGAAGAATAACAGCTTGAAGATCTTTTTTTCCACATAGAATCGTTTTTCTTTTGTATTTTGCTTCCCTATAATTTCCCAAACAAACAATCTCACATGTTGACATGAACCATGAAGACAACACAGCTTCAGCGGGATGACAAACTACAACCAGAACCAGAACCAGCACAGAAACGGGTCAGGTGTTCCTTTACCTGCTGCAGGGGTGTTAGGGTGGGGTCAGGGGGGAGGGGCTTAGTGGGAGGAGCAGGTCTGTCATTAACCTGATTGAAGAGAAGACAGGAAGCAGAGTCAGACGGCGGCAGAAATGTTAATGTGGAGAAAAAGGGGAAGGAAAGCAGACGCTCTCTTTTCACTTCCTCAATCACGCAACAGTCTCGTTTCCTCCGACCAATCAGAGGCGCTTATTTCACTTCCTTTATCTGAGAGGCTCTTTTTCTCTAAACATGATAAAAGCTTCAAGAAATTACTACTGCAAAAAAAAACAAAACAAACAACATACAGCAGGAATAAACTGGTTTAAATGTGACTAAAGCACTAAAATGACTAAATGAACGAAGCAAACATCCACTTATTTACCTTTTAAGTATTTATTTCTAAAAAACTAAAATATGATCAGATGGGAGCTGTTCATTCTTAGTCATATTTCTTTACAGATGAGTGAAAATGTGATAAAACCCGAATGGCTCTGTTCTAAAACCATTCTGCTCTGCTTCATGATGATCTGTTCCCACATGGGATCAC